CTGGAGCACCTTTCGTTGGCAGCAGCTCGAAAAGTCCATACAAAAACAAAACATACGTTTGAAACAACTGGCTACGGAAGCCTGTGTGCAATTGGCGATTCTCAGCCCAACCCAGGAATTGGTGGAATCTACGATTGCCGGTGTCCAGGACGAGCTGCATGCTTATGCCACTTGCGCGATGCCTCAAACGTCACGCCTAGGTACGTGTACCGGCGCACACAAGGCAACAGAGAGCCTTGAAACATGAAACGATAATCAGTCGACTTGGAACCGACAACCATGACAGCGGACTTATCGGGGCCTATACCGAAAAAGAAACGCCACTGAGAACCCCAAACCCCCTATTGCATCTCAAGCTCTCTGAAGCTGAGCAGCATCCCCAGCCAAGATTACTAAGTCGTCAGCATAGAACAAGAAAGCCACACGAGGGGCATTTGGGGCATAGCCGGCGGTGCTCAGTGATACGCCCGGGCACACGGCACGGACGGCATCCGCGATGCCATTAAACAGAATGTTAAAAAGCAGCGGGCCAAGGACTCTGCCCTGGCGAACACCGGCAGATTCCGTCCAGGGTGAAGAGGTGGAGCCATTGACAACTACCCATGCGCTTGTGTCGCTCAAAAGATCCGCGATGACGGACCACAAAGACCCAGTAATCCCGAACTCTGCGAGTTTGAGAAGCACGGCGTCTTTCCAGGCTACATCGAAGGCGGTTCGCACATCAACGAAAGCACAGAATGTACGACGACCAGCACGCAGCTTTCAAAGTCTCTGCCAACATGTAAATTTGCGACACCATCTTCTGCAGCGTCTGCTGCTTGTGTAAGTTTTGTGCTGGTTCGGACTGACACACGGAATGTCTTGTGATTGAGACGAACATTTCTTGGAGCAAAACCACCCAACTCAATGGCGAACTTCCTGATCTTGCTCGCAGTCGGCGTGCGCTATGTGCCGCGGCTTCTTGGGCATCCCAGGCAGGGACGTGGCAGCTTTGAGCAGCAAGGTGGTCGGTGGAGTTGCTGGCATGGGGTGTGGCGAGCAAGTGCACGAGGCGATCTGCGGGGAGGGAGCACGCATTGCAGGCATGCGTCGGGCCATGTCGAGCCAGGAGGCCCCGTAGGCGGCATGGCGGTCGGCCGGGTTCGGGAATCCAGCGGCCGCCGGGCATTTGCCTGGGGCAACATCAATGCGCGCGAAGCCGAGAAAAAGCTCGCGCAGGCGGATGTGTCCAAGCAGGTTGTGGCGGCTCGCTGCCATCCTCGTAGGGGCTCTCCAGGTGTGCGCTCAGCAAAGCCTTTTTTTTCCCCCAAACCCTTTTCAGCGTCCAACGAGCAGCGGGACAGGCAGGCTGCCAGGCGCAGTGCACGCCGCTCACACGAGCTAGCAAGAGGAGGCAGTGAGGCTGAGTCGGCATGTCGCTCAATGGGGGTAGCTCTCCATCGACATTCGCGGTGCCGGTGAGTGGGAGCGACAAGAGGCTTGCCGAAGGGCAAAAGCGCCGACGACCGGAGGGTGAACACGGAGATGGCAGCAGCTCTCGAGGGTGGCGGAGCGGAGCGTGCCTTGCACCGTGCAAGCTGTCTGACGAAGGTGGCGGCCTCAGCCTTCCCCATTTGGCACGGGGCTCAACTTGCTGTCGATACCGCCTGCGTCAGCTCCGCGGCGAGGCGCGGCCAGGGGCTGACAGTCAACCCGGCCTCGCCCTTCCACAAGCAACGCCGATCGACATCTGCCCCGAGCTGTCGCGTTCGCCACGATGCCTGCTTGGTGATCGTCGCGCAGCGTGTCCGACTGCCGGAGTCCTAGGAGTGCGCGGGGCAGCGCTGGAAAGGGCGGCTGCGCGCGTTTGCCGCGAAGCAGGAGCACGTGTGGCCTCCAATGTCCTCCTACGGGACATGAATGTTGACGTGCTCTTGACCGACGGTTGCCGCATCGAAGTCCTGGCGAATGGTCTGCCCATCCGGCAGGGTACACAGGCGGCCGTCGACACCACCCTATATAGTGTCACCAGTCACGCGGGCGGGCGACGCACAGCCGCATGCCGATCGCGTACCAGGCACGGTGCTTGAGCAGGCGGCGAAACGCAAATGCCAGCGCACCTACCCGGAGCTGGCAGTCGCCCGCCCTCCGCGACACTGGTTTCCAACCTCCTGCTTTCGGCGACTTGCCCCCGCAACCCCCCGTGGTCCCAGCAGACCCTGACGAGCCTGTCGACACTACTCGAGGCTGGCAGCGGCCTGCCTCCCGTGCTATCGACGATAGCACCGCTGGCCGCTTCCGCGCAATGCTCGACCCTCCTTCCCTTGCCCTGCTGGAGTCTCAGTGCGGACCGTTCGCTTCAAGGGTTCTCATTGCCTTGCCTTCCTGCAACGAGCTCACTTTGGATTCGCTTGCCCTTGCCACTCGACGCTGCAGCCTGTCGCTGCCCCCGTCCCGTCGACCCTCCGGGTGACCACCGCGCTGCCCCCGTTCCGCTCGAGCGTGCTGCTGCCCGGGTTTGCCGCGAAGCCGGGGCTACTGTTGCCTGCAATGTTCTCGTTCGTGGCCTGGACATCCACCCCGAGCGCCTCGATGATCGCCGCATCGAGGTCATCGCCAACGGACTCCCGCTCTAGGGCGGAGCGCAATTCGCCGTTGACACAACCCCCGTGTCCCCTCTCGACGCCAGTGGAGCTGCCCGTCGGCACCAGCGGCAGTACCGCGGCGCTGCTCTTCGCTTGGCACGCAGAGCTACGGAACGCACCTACCCGGAGTTGCTGCGCTCGCAGAGGTGCCGGCTTGTTGTCTTCGCATTTGAGGTTGGTGGCCGCTGGAGTCCCGAGGCCTCCCAGTTCGTTCGCCTTCTCGCTCGGTGCCGGGCCCGTGCTGTGCCTCGACTGTTGCGGCCTGCAAGCATTGCTGCCTTCACTTCCCTCGCCTTCTCTGCCGCCAGAGCCTTCGGTGCCAGTCTACTTGGCCTTTCCTTGCCCGGCACCGCCAATGTTGATGGCGACCATCCCCTGCTCAGCGAGGTCCTTTCCTCGACTCGCTCCGACGAAGCCCCGCCTGTTGCCAGCCGTTTTCCCCCGCACCAGTGAGCTGCAGCCTTGGACTCGGGCGTGGAGGACGCTGACCTCGTGAAAAACAGCGGGTAGCTGCAGCTCCTCCCCCCTGCGCTGGGACCGCATTATTCCTGGCGCAAAGAGGTCCGTGGGAAAAATACAGCGTCATCCTGGCAGGCTCAAAGTCACAGAGGGGAAAGTTCCATATTTGTATGAGGCTCATTGCCGACTCAGCTACCGGAAGTAACTTCACAACAACCTCCGGCATGCAGGAACGGTGCGAATTGCCGAATAGCCAAGAAGAGCATTCGCCCGTTGAAGTGGTTGTTGAGGGCACGCGCTGGAACCGAACTGCATGTGGGGATGATGTCACGCACGCTCGCTAAGGAGTGCAAGCGCGACCTTGCACAAACGATATGCCCTGTAGCTAGCTGCATGCCATAAATCATCATGAATCATATGATGCACATCGCAGCTTGGGCGGTGCGAGAGGGAAAAGAATATAGTGCACAGCGCGCAGTCGGCCTGGTGGTGTTGGGTTTGCATGGGGACCGCGTGGAAAAAAAACGCTCAGGAAAAATGATGAAAAATGCTTTGGCCGCTCATCGGGGCAGCCCTCGTGATGCGACGACACGGTCATGGCATCCCTGGACGGCTGCACGACTGTACGACTACTGTATGTACCGCGCCACGTGGCTCCGGAGCAACTTCCACTCGTAGAAATGTTTCATGGCCTGTCAACGGTTGCGTCAGAGCGATGCATTCGCCTCGGCAATACCTGCGCCTGGACAACACGATGCGCCTGTCTGCGGTCGAAGCGCTACATGTTCAGGACAATTTTATCGCCTTCCTCGACGACTGGTACGTCGTGACCACTTTTGCCCATACAATGCCCTGGAGACAACGGTGACGCACTGCGGCACAACATCCAACCCCAGAAGAACTCGAGCCTTTACTTCCACAAAAAGGTCGCCAGCAAGCGACATCGCGTAGCTTGGGCGAAGATGTTTCCTGCACTGAGCAGGGCGGCGGCACAGAAGCAATCGCTCGTGTCATCCCAGGCACTCCCAAGCGAGCCAAGCACCACCTGGACTTCAAAAACCATGACTGGCTGGTGCTACGCCTACGATTGCCTTGGCTCCTGATCTTGCTTCGGTGCGGCCCATATCCGAGTGCGGCCAAGAGGACAATGCGATCGCTTTTGCCGACCACGCGTGGCGCCGTGTGACAGCAAGTCGAGTCCGATGGCCCCATGCGCACGGCCCAGCCATCCCCGATTCCCGGTGCTTCGGCATGGTCATGTATGGAGCCAAAGCCAACGGGACGTGCTTTGCTGCAGCGTGACGGTGGTACTGTATCACCGCTGACCCGCAGCGGACACCCACAGCCGTCGCCCGCAGCTCTCCCAGACTTTCCCCTCCACACTTTCATCGACCTTCCCCTATTTCGTGGCTTGCCGAGTGCAGCATGTGTTGGCTTGGTTTTGGGCATATTGGGGTTTCAGCCGCATCCCCAAGTTGGCTCAAAGGGTCGTGGAAGGCGTCGGAAAGCCCAGCAGTTCGGGAGAGAAACAGAGAGAGAGGTTTGGAGTGGCAGTTGACAACACATTGGAATGACGTTGAGGAAGAAAGACGTTGTGCAAGCATGTGCAGAAGGAGTCAGTGGGGGTGCGACCTTGCAGCTGGTGTCACGGTTTCTAATCAAACTTTTTATCCGGACTCATTGGAATCCTGAGATCGTAAGGACGTAAAGGTGTTGAGTCCTGGCAGCAGCCTTCAATTTGTGCTAGCAGTAGGCTCATGAAGACGCCACTGCCATGGCGCAATAACATCCAGGCCGTGGATGTGCGCTTGTTCGTGCTGCTCCTTCTTTGTCGCACCATTCTGCCATGTCAACTAGGTGTGTGGTGCGGCCGTTTGCACAAGACACAACCTGTCCAGGCTAGTTACGGGTTGAGCAATGGGCGAAAAGAGAAAGCACATCTCGGTTTTCCACCGGTGCTGCCGCCGACGGCCAGCGACTGCAGCTGGTGCAGGGAAGGATGTCTACTGCGTGGTCCGCACTGGCATGCGCGGGAAGCTCGAAGATGTGTCATCGCTTATCCAAGCTGCGTATTTGCCCTGCCACACATCTTACTTGGATGCGAAGGGCCGGTGGAATATTTCATGTTATGCAGAGCTGGATGACATCCCGGATGCAATGGTGCCCGGCGCAGTCGTGCACATTCCAATGAAAGACGTTCTGCAGCCCTTGTTGGATGGATTGACGGCAAAGCTGTGCACATGGTGGCGCTCCTTGCATCCAGAGTTTTCTGGTTTTGAATTACATCGCGTGCAAACCTTTGTTACTCGATACCGGCCTTGTGAAGGAGAGACGCACTTGACTCGACATGTGGACGGGCCCCACGTCGATGCATCCTTCATTTTGCAGTTACACAGTCCCAGCTATACCGGTGGTGGTGTGAGGATATGGGATGCGCAAGGCCGCAGTAGAGATTACGGCATTGAGACGGGTGATTTGTGCATGTTGGATCACATGGTGTGGCATCAGTCCCTTCCTGTGACAAGCGGGGAACGATGGGTGCTTGTCGTTTTTTGCCAGAAGCGTGAACTCCTTCGGACGTCTGATGCCGAGAACTGGGGCGCGGCAGAAGAATGTGAGGGCCAGGATTCGGGACTTGCGAGGTGTCAGCAGGCGATCTGGTTAGCAACCCAGGCAGCCAACGCCAGCTGCGATGTAGACAAGGTGCAGGCCACGAAATTGGTTCGCATGTTATCATCAAGCACGTTGGATGAGCGTGAACGTGCAGCTTTCGCATTGGGCTGCTTAGCTGTTAACGGTTCATCAAACCAAGAAACCATAGTTGATTCTGGGGCTGTGCCGGTCCTTGTACACATGCTTGGAACCACGACTCCCCAGCACAGCACAGAACGTGCTTGGGCTGCAGCTGCCCTCGGCCGCTTGGCAGTAAACTGCCCGAAGAACAAGCAAATGATCGCACAGTTGGGAGCTATCCAGCCTTTGGTCACGATGTTGTTATCGGATCAGGAGTTGGAGGCAGAAGAAGCTGCATCCGCTTTGTGCAATCTGTCAGCCAACCACGAAGGCAATAAACAGCTGATGACTTTGGCGAATGCCGTACCGGCATTGTTAAAGTGTTTGGGAGGGGCCAGCCCGAAGCAGTGCATTTGGGCAACTGCCGCTTTATTTAACCTGGCGTCTCATCCAGTGGCTGCCTTAGTTGCACTTCCTGCAGAACCACAGGATAATACGAGCATGTGCAGTATACGTGAATCGAGGCAAGCTGCCACCAGATGTGTCGTGCTGGTGCTATCGACCACCTTGTGCCTTTACTCTGTTCAGACACAGGCAGGCTACGGCGACAAGCAGCAGAGACTCATCTGATGGTTTGGGGTGTGGTTTCTGCGATCCTGCTTGCTCGTAGTTTAGGCCGGCTGCAGGGCTTCTAGCAGTCCTTTTTGCTTCTCTAGCCTAGCTTGCTGACTTGAACTAGATGGACCACACAGAAGAGATTCCCCAGTTTCTCTGGCCTAGCATGCTGACTTGAACTAGATGGACCTCACAAAAGAAGAGATTCCCCAGTTTAAAAGCCTCCACCGAGGCAACTTTGGCGTCGTTGGCCAGAAGCGAAGCAGAGACCCGTGCGGGCATCGTTGAGGCTGGAGCTTTGGATGCGTTGAGAGCCATGCTCCTCGATTCTTGGCATGGTTGGTGCAATGTCACTACTCCACGCCCTCTCCCGGAGTCTGCGTTTTCCACCTTAGCTGTGGGATCACGCTCCTCCAAACGGCCAAACACATCAAACGCGCCCTTGGTTGCTGCTTTAAGGACGAGGAGAGTGGCGTCGAGGCTGCCTCTCTTTTGGAGGTGGGGCATGATCGTGAATTTGTGGTTCCTCCGGTGCTTTCACGAGCTGTTATGTGTCTGCATCTCGTTCCAATTATGATGCAGGAGCTGCAACGTGGGGTCACGCTGACAGACGAGTCTGAAGATACATAAGTGGAGACCCGGCGGATTTTGCGTCCAGGCCACTTCGGACCTTGATCAAGACCTTGAGCTGCCAGCCTGCTGGATCAAACGATGCGATGGGATGTGGGCATGCTGATCACGGCGGATGTCTACGGCAACATCTATCTCAGAAGAGCAGTGCGACCAGGAGGCAGTATGACCATGTAGCCAGACATAGCCAGATGGGCCGGGACTGCCTTCCTCCATCGTCGCCTGACGCACAGGCTGCGGAGCCAAAAAGCTCCGCGTTGTTGTAGTCTCAACTTGGTCGCCACGAAGACTTGGAATGTGTATTGCCGCGCAGTCCTTGGATGCTTGCTGGTCGGCTGCAGGCGGATGGGTGCCACTGGAGTTGAGCGATGGCAGTGCGTCTGCAAGGCCACACGCAAGCAGCAGTTTGAGAGTGTCAGACACCGAAAGTGGGGCAGACAGGTTCCGTTGAGCATTCGCACTGCGCCGAGGGGGAAAGGCCCGGAAGTGCTGAGTGAAAGCGCAGGAGATCAGCAGGCTGCAAGTCATAACTTCGCTGCAGCCTCTTCTGCGCAAAGTCCCGACACCGGTGCTGCTACTGTAATTACATACCCGAGCATGTGTACCCCAAAGCCGGAAGAACAGTACAACTGACCATAACTGAGCTCACTTCTGGGAACCCGGCAAACAGAACCCATGCAGTGACCCCAAGTTACTGGCATCAACATGCGAATCGGAAGGCGAGATCGTGGCTGTGATTGGGCCTGGGGATCTGGTGGCCTTCACCCCCTTCCCGAAGCGGCCGGCCGCATGGCTGCAGCTGAGATCTTCGGAGGCGACGTGCGACACGCCTTGGCTTTCTCAGAATGTGTTAGAGCGAGGTTACGCTCTCGGATCTCTCGGTACATAGCTTCCTGAGATGCCGGGGGCTCTGTTGCGGCGCTCCGGCCTTAGCGTTCGGGCCTGGCTCTCTTCGGTCTGGCTCCAGGTCGGAAGTTGGAGGCAGCGGAGGCCCTTTGCACTGCGCTCGCCGTGTCGCCTCAGCACGCCTCGGCACGCCTCAGCTCTGTGGTACGTGAAGGCCAGCTCGGAGTCTGAGCAAGGCCCAGTGTCCGAGTGCAGAGTCGGAGAGCGGAGGCAGCGGAGGGTGAAACCCGGCAGGCTGGATCTCGTGCAACTCCGAAGACGGGGTGCACTTCATCCCGCTTGGAGCTTGGAGCGTAAGTTCACCCTTGAGACTTTGGAGCCCAGGTTCACCGGCATGGGAGACCTCGGCCAGGCGTGGAGCTGGCAGAGCTGGTTTCAGAGGCCTTCGGGGTCTTGTGGCACGCCTCGGGGCCGACGTTTCTTTTTTTCTAGCCCGCAGGAGTTCGTCTCAGAATCCGTGGCTGAATCAACTGGCTCGGCTAAAGCTTCCGGCCACAACAGGCTTGGAGGACATCGCCGCGAGCTTGTGAAGCATTCCACACAGATCCCACAAATATCCACAAATCATTTGCGAGCAGGGCCAGGCTGCGCGATGGTCCGCAGTGGGATAGAAGGGTGCAGGGGGGCTTGGCAAGGAGGATGTGGGCTCACGCTTGCTGCTGGATGCTCGTGTCCGTGGCAAGTTCACAGGCTACCTTTGCGTGGGCGGTCGGTGGGTTTGGTCGACAGCTTTGTATTGCGGGTGCAGGCATCTTCGTTTGTGATGCTTTGGCGGGCTTCGGCATGGCTGTCAGGCTGGTCGTGATACAAGCTTAGCTTGACTTCGTGCAGCAACTGGTTTGTAACCCGACAGGCCGTCCATGGACAGGCACACCGTGAAGCTTTTGTATGATAAAGATGCTTTGCCAGAGCGATGGCGAGCGATCGTCTGTCAGGGTGGCTCAGCGATGGATTCGTGAGAACTTTTCCGTCGAAGTCGTCTCGGCCCAAGCATGCAGCTGCACGTTGTTGCAAGCCTTTCCACTAACAGCAGCTCAGGCCTCAGTCTCAAGCCTGGAGCTTGCAGCCTTGCTGGAAAAGCGGACAGTGGAGGACGTCCGGTGTTTGTGCCTTCCATTGCTTTCCTGTGACGAAGTCTCGCCAGAAGGATCGGCACCGACTTGCGGCGGCCTCGGACGTCGCTGAGTGTCTCGCACCCAATCTGGCAATCTGTTCCTGGTGAGGTCTTGCTGCTGGTGCAGGAGCCACGTGCCTGGGTTGCCAGGGCGCGCCTCAGCGGTTTCCCCGGTGCATCTTTAGAGCCGCCCTCAGCGAGCAAGCTCGTCTCGAGATGGTACCTTTTTTCTCCTCGTGTTGCCACATGCTCGTACGATTTGCTGAGGCGAGAGAGGCCGAGGCGGGAAAGTTGGAGTTCGCCGCAGGCACGCTTTTGTGTACTGTGCTGTGTGTATGTTTCACAGCCTGTTGGGATGTGAAAAGGCAAGGGCACTTGTCTGGAACACTGGTTGCAGCAGCCCGTCGAGTGCTCTGGCAACTTGCACTCCGAAGGGCTCATGCAGAAGTCTCAGCTTTGTTCAGGGTCGAAGAGAAGTGGCCCGTCGAAAGGGAGTTGGACCTGTGTATGAGAGCTTGGTGCCCAGGTCCCTATGGGCCTGGTTCACGCAAGATCTTGCCCGTGCAGCGATGGCAACTTGCTTGCACTGCGCTTTCGCTTTTGCTCGCACGCTTTTGCTTGCCGTTGGCCTCAGTGTGACCCAGTGCACTCACGAGGCTTCACGGCATGCCCAGCCCTTACTGAGCTCGTGGTGCAGTTCTAGCCAAGGATGTAGCCTTTGTGGGAGCAGCTGTGGCTGAGGTGGTCCTCTGCAGGGTGGAGGAAGCCAAGCAACCGTTGGTTATCGTGTGGCATAGACTTAGACCTAGTGCCCAACTGAAACTTTTGGATCCCGCAGGCCAGGCTCAAGTGAAAGTGCAAAGAAATGTAGCGGGTAGAAGGGGAGACTTGTTGGTCACAGGTGCATTGTGGTTGGGCTTCCGGAAGCGATGCTATGTTTTGTGGCCGCTTTGTCTTGTGGCCGCTGCGCTTTGCGCATTTGCTCTGGAGAGCTTCGTTGAGCTTTTTCGTGCAGGCATTGGCCCAAGCCTTCATAAAGACTGTGAAGGACTGCGGGAGATGCGTAGATGCCGTAGGTCGTAGATAGGATAATTGGCACTGGCACCAGCAATGAGAGCAGGCAGCACGGATCTTCGGCAACGGCTGGAGCAGCGCAAGAAAGAACAGTTCGAGAAGTTCACACGGGCACTGTCAGAGGTTAGTCCAACAGATTTCATGCAGGAAGATGCTTTGAAGGCTGGCGGCATTTGTTTGGACCTGCAGCTTTCGGGTGCCATACCTCCAATTACGGAATCGAGAAGGGTTGACTCTGCCGGTGTCGCCGCGATAGCCTTGAGCGAGCGACGAGCCGCTGAGGAGTTGATTGCCAAGGCTCGCCAAGAGTCCTTGCGTGCGAATCAGGCAATGGTCGGTCAAGCTCGAAAGTCCCGTGGCCGTGCCATGTCTTCACGTTTGCGCTTGCGCCCCGTCTCGATGCAGAGCACACGCACGAACTCGCCGATGCCCCAAGCTCCAAGCCCCTTGTCGGCCAGCACCTCTGACTGGGCCTCAGCACTTTCGCCAGAGACTCCCAAGCCGGGCTCTGCCGACTCCGGCTGGACGGACTATTCTCCTGTTCCCATGGGCAAAGTCTTCGAGGAGATGTTGGCGAACTACTACCGCCAGGCAGAAGAACTTCGAGATGTGGAGTATGCTGCCATTCAGCAAGCCCGTCGGCAAGAAACCGAGCTGGCCCAGCAAGAGCACGTCCGAAGAGAACACTTCGAAATGCAGCATCGCAGACGTGAGTTTGCCATCATTCATGAGCTCCACAGGCGCGAACGGCGCCGGGTGTTCGATGCATCTCGCACTGTACTTGTAGTGGACCGCCTACAAGAGGAGAGGATCAAGGCCCAGCTGGAGCAGCAACGCCGAAGGGAGGCCGCGCGCCAGCAGCGTGCTCAGAGCAGCGCGCGACGCGCCAAGTATGAGTCCCACTTCGATTTCATTCTCTCCCAGGGCGCCTTGGAACGCGCGTGCTCCAAAGTGGACAGAGAGAAACACCGCAGGGATCGAACTGTCCAGGCGAAGAAGACGGTCGAAAGCCGCAAGGACAGGTGGGTAAAGCACGCAAGTCATCTGCGTGCTAGGCGTTTGCTTCTACAGGAGCAGAAGCGGGTGCGTGATGAAGATCGCGACCGTCAACACAAGTACTACGTATCGCGACAGGATGCGATTCGAGAACAGGACTTTCTGGACAAGCAGTGGAATGTCCAGATGCACCATTTATGTACCAATGCCGTCCGTGACATCAACGCGATGAAGCAGAAGGACACGAGCCTGTACAGCCACATGAGCGACAAGCAGGTCAACTGGTCTACTTCTGTTTCAACCCCGAGTGTACCTAGCATTGTTGTCGACGACTTGAGCAGCTACCAAGAGGCCTTGCAAGCGATTTCATCACTGACGGATGAAGTCCGTGCACAATTCCCGTTGCACAGACCTTACGTAGGAGAAACTGAAGTCGGGCCTGACGAGACCGAAGTTGTCGAAGTTGCTGTGAGCCCTTGACCTGGCCGCCCAGTGCTGCAAAATTTGTGTCCAAGCACTTTCTAAGCAGTGCCACTTCAAAACATCCAAGCTACCTGTAGCCAGCAGCTAGGAGTTCTAGGCTCCTCCCAATCGCCGCTTCAGGTTATGCGCCAGCTCTGGGTAGCGGCTGTTTTATTGGCAGCACTGCCTGCCGCCGCCGACGAGGCAGAGTCGCAACCCGCTTGTAGCCGTGATTCGGGCGTGTTGCCGGTAGCCCTGTGATTCTCCCCAGATTCCACTAGTTGCTAATCCTGTCTTCTCTATGTGTTTCGTTGTGTCGCGCAGGCTCTCAGAGGGTCGTCGCTTGGATGCAAGTGCAGTTTTGTCGTGTGGCACGTGCGGCACGTGCGTGCCGTCTCAGCTTGTGTTTGTGCGTGTGTGTGTGTGTGCTAGAGCTGTTAGAGGTATTGATACAAAAACACCCATTCACTTACGCATTCACCTACGCCTACACCTACACGTGCACAAACACCAACATTTGCACATACATCATCTACATGTGCAAGTAATTTTACATATACACAGCCATACGTGCACACACATGCACTCGCACTCAAGCACTGCACATACATACATGCATACATGCATACATACATACATACATACATACACATATGTATATTCTAACATATATACATATAGATAGTACATATGCTACCCCGCCATATGCGCCCACCGTTTCTGCAAATTTTGTGTCTTCTGCTATGTGTTGTCAGAGGAACTGAGCACAACAAATCCTGCGAACCCCCCCCCCCCCCCCCC